GGGTGGTGGTGGGGGGTGTGTGCTATGGTGTAGTGCCCATTGTAAGGCAGGTATGGCTTTTGTTCCGGGTGAATGTCCCTCTCTGTCTTAGAGGATACCTGGTGTTGGGAGAGGCAGTTCTGGGATTTCTAGTCCAACCTCTGCATGGCAGAGTTGATCCCCAAACCAGACCAGGCTGCGGAGGGCTATGTCTCATTTAATTTGGGTTTCCAAATCCACCACCAAGGCTGGAGATGCTCCTATCTCTGTAGTGGGCCATCTGACACTGCACAATCCCTGAAGGGATACCTTAGACCATGTGGGGACTCCAGCCACAGCAGGGGACTCTAGCAGGGGCTGTACACTGAGGCCACACCAGTCCTCTATGCTCAGGTTTGGAGGGGCTCAGTGCTTGATGCTGGAGGATCTCAGGAGAGTGCGTGCAGCCTGCTTCACCTGAGAGCTGCTCTCAGTAGAAGTAGTCCTGAGCTCTCTTTTCCCTCAGACATCCCTAGGTGCAAGTGCCCCCTGTGCTCTGTAGTGCTGAGGGCAGTTCTCTGGAGCAGTGTAAGGTATCTTCTGGCTCAGAAATCCTCCACTGCTCACTTTATCAGGATTTTCTAATTTCTCAAATATTTCTGGATGGCTCCCAGTGGGCACTGGGCTCTGCAGCTGGCAGGTGAGGACAGGCTTTTTCCTTAGCCACTGGTCCTGGAAATGGAACTCACTCTGGTGCTGTGCTGCCCCAAGACTAAGCCAGAAATTGTTTGTGAAGTTGAAAGTGCCCGCAAGAAGTCTGTCCTAGCAGTGCCAGAGTGTTGTGGGATGGAGGAGCTGTAGCAACTTTGCAGCCTCACAGGATTAGCTCTGACTGCACTTTTCCTGGCAAAGGTTCATCTAAACTGGTCTCAGAAACTTGGGTATGGTGAGCCCATGCCTGTAATGAGGTCTTCCCTCTGTGTCTCCTAATTCAAGTGCTTCCTAACACCTAACCTACTTCTCTTTTGCTTCTATTTCAAGTTCAACTTCCAAGTTCACTGCTTGGCAGTCACAGCAGACAGATCTCCTGATGACTTTGAAATGTTTCTGCAGGATCAAAGCATGGCTGTGCAGGCAGACAGGTAGCAAGGAACAAATTCTGACAGATGCAGCCTCCCATCAGGAGCATGACCTTGGTGCCAGAACATCGCCACAGCTTTTGATCTTGGACTGTGAACATGGTGATGATGTGGGAAGAGTTCTCCGATGTAACAGGTCCCTTCTGAACCCTCCTGTGCAGATCACAAGTCCTTTATCTCAGTATAACTAGATAGAATTTTCTTACATCCATTTCTGTGAGAACCAGTCAAGGATTTTTCCCTTCAGAAGGTCCAAGACTCCAGTCCTAGCACCTGACTTGGGATTTCTTGGGTCTCAGTGGGAACATATCAGAGATACAGAACAGATGTTTATTAATGGAGAATGAGCTCAAGGAAGCAAATTTATTGGGATACTTTACCAGACACTGCCGAGAGGCATGGAGTATATGGAAGTTTGTGGCATGTAGCTTTTTTGCTTGCTGTGAGTTCTGGAGGCAGATGAGAAACTCTGATGAAAAGTCACTCCAGTGTCTTCCTCCCACAGGCAAGGTACATGTGGAATCCACAACTTTCACAAGTGATTTTTTTATTCTTGATTATGAACATAATAACAAGGAATCATTGGCAAGCACAGGAGAAAAGAGCTGAGCAGAGAGGGAGCCTGCACTCAGAAAGGGGAATTGGAAAGTGACATTTCACTAAAACGCTACTACCCTTGGGCTCCTCTGCTCCAACAAGGCTCAAGCTCTTTGGTCATGCAAAGCCTTCGCAGAGTGTCCAGTGTGGACAGGAGGGGGAAGGAGCACTAACAATATGGAGCTGGCTTGATGAGGATAAGGGAGGATTTGCAGTTCCCTTTGCACAGGCTGCCCCATGTCATACCGCCCTTGAAATTCAGCCGTACAGAGTAACACGCTGAATACCACCACCCGCCCTCATAGCTGTAGGCACAGTTCTTACTGTAAGTGTCCTGATCCTGATCCTTTGTGGAGAACTTCATGTTGTCATGCATGGTGTTGGGATTGTCTGAGGTCATGGCATCCCCTGCTGTCCCTGTGTAGGAACCCAGCCTCAGCCGGTAGCCGTGGGACTCATCTTCCACACTGAAGAGGTTGTAGTCTGCAAAATTGATGTTGTCTGTGGAGTCCTGGATGATAAACCTGACCTGGTAGACCTTCTGCTTGGCAATCTGATGGATGTACTCGGTGCCCAGCCAGTACTCGCTGCGCACGTTCCCAAAGCCATACTTGTAGGTGCTCCAGGACTCAGCCCAGGTGACTGATGTGTCTTTCTGGTTTCTCTGGATGACCGTCCAGCCCCCGTTTGTCACATTCATTTCACAGAACACCACGAGATGGTGAAGCCCTTTTGGCTGGATGATGTAGACACCACTGCGGCTGCCAGTGGGGATCTCACTGCAGTCCTTGGGCCAACCTGGGGCAAGAGACAGAGTTGATTATTAAACCCACACAATGAGACACTGAAAGCACCTGATCTTTCTTTTGTGCCTCTATCTTTTTGCACACACATTCTTGGGCTGTATTCCTGCCATGTGCCCACAGGAATAAATCTTGAAATCATCAACATAAGAGTTGGGCTTCATATCTTCCCAAGACAGGATTCAAACTGATGGGGACACTCTGCCAAAATGTCTTTGCCTGTTGAGATCTTCACTAGCACACAATGCACCCTAGCCCAGGTTGGATTCAATCTTGCAGTGCTGTGATGATTTGCCTGTAGCATGCAGGTGATGTATCAACACACAGACAAATGCAAATCTGATTTATAAAGCCATTTGCTGTTACAGCATAGAGACTCTAGACTTTTGTAGTAATCTCAGAAACCCTTGAGAGTGTAATCAAGGCACACATATTTCTAATAATTAAATCAGCCTTTGTGATCTTAATATGACAAATCCATCGGTTTTCTCTGGGTTTATCCAATTAGATCTTTAGACACTTCCTGACGTGCTTGATTTGATTATGGCCTTTCCATGCTTCAGTGTCAGCAGCTTTTACATCAAACTGCAAAGGCACCTACACACTTCCAGGAAGTGACGACTCTGCTGCTGGTTATTCCTACCCCAATGGGACCTATCTTGTGATCCTGTGGGCTAATGTTGACTCAGTCAGTTCAGTAGCACAGTCAGTCCCTGCCTTACCCAGTCTTCTCATCAACTGTATAGTGAAAATAGGAACATAACTAATCACCACTTCCCAAAGGCCAATAATGAATCATCACTTTGCAGTTTGGATCTTTAGGTGGAAAATTCCACATGCTAAAGTTCCTCACCAAATGCTGAGTACAGGACGTGGCTGGTAATAGAATCCCCCCTGAGGTTATGAGCTGTGGCACCTCTGCAGCCTATCAGAATTCCTGTGAGGAGCCAGTGCACATGTAGGACATGGGCTAAGGTGACTGAGAGCTCTTCATGAGTCCAGCAATGGTGAAACCTTAGGAACAGATCCACTCCTTGAAAAGAGACTTACCATGTCCCACTGGGTGGTGGGGGGCAATGTCTCTGACCTGTCGAACATGTTCGCTGCCATTATCTGAATTAACAAGAACAGAGGAGACAGGAGTGAGTGTTGACAGTAGACCAGATGATATTCCTGTTTTTCTGTTGTTGTTCCTAATTCCAGGGGGACTTCACTGTTTCAAGTATCAGCCAGTTGGTAGTTCGGGGGAATTTACATGGTGTTAGAATGGGGCAAATGCTTCCTTGGTGAGAAGGATTTGAGCACACTGTGTGTGATAGACCACAAATAGTGGTAGAAACACTGAAAAAATGGCCGTTAAAGTGTAGTAGAAACAGTTAGGAAGGGATTCAGGAAGAACAGGGATTAGAGGGAGAAGAAGTTTGAGAGCAGGCACAGGAAAACTAGTGCAGGTATCAGGAGTTGGGAGAGGGATTCTACTCAGCTTGGTCAGAAGGGAATTGGAAGCATGTTGCTGGGATAGAGAGTGGTTTAGAGGGAATTAATGCAATTCTTTTGCAAGGACAACATATGTGTATCCACTGATGGCTATAAAACAGAGGAACAAATCACAGGCCAGGAATAGCGGACATTGCAAAGTACAGTTGTTGAATTCAGTCAGTTTATTTTTCTCTGTTGTGGGCTTTCCAAATAATGTCTGTTTAAAAAATTACAGCACCTCTAAGTAATACCAAAATGCTGTTAACTAGAAATGAAAGCAAAGGTTTAACAAGACAATAAATGCTTTGTCCATCTTGAACAAGTTGCACAAAGGAAACAAATAGCATATTTAGGAAAGTGAATGACTTAAATGGTTCCAGTGATCTGCTCAATCATTTACAGTGAGGGATTAAAATAATGGAAGCACAAAAAACATTCCTGTCCCCTCTCTCTGTAATAGATGCTTAATGCTGCAGCCACTGTTCTCTGACACCCTTTCCTATCCTCTCCCATATGAGGTTGTCATGGTTTAACTCTGGCTA